AGTGGCTACCAGCGAAATCCTCGCAGCTAAATCGCTCGACGAACACAAGCAGAGCGTACATAGGATCCTTCCTGAAAGAAAGGGAATGTGAAAACCTAGACTCCCAATGAATTATATTGAAATGCTGACGACTTAAGTAATTGGGTGACCTCTGTGATCACTGTTTGAAAGTTTGGACGCTTTTGGCTAATGGTTGCCAGTAAATGCAGAAGCTCATTAGATGAGAGACGGTGCTCGTGTGTGGCACGAAAATGTCTCACAATGATGTCTGGCGTGTATGGAGTTCTATAAAAAAAATTGTTTTGGAATTCAGAAAATACTTTGAGATAAATTGCGCAATTGGCAGATGTGCGCTCGGTGAGATTCAATTTACTTACTGCGACTCGATAATGAGATTGTGTAGTACCCCACGCACTAGATCAACTTTGCTCATAATGGAGTGGGCGAACTGTTGTTATAATTCATAAAGCAGCAGTAAAAATTACAACACTTCCAATACCAGCAATTGCACTAACGCAGTCATTTGCGCTTGAGCTAGAATTGAGTGGACTCTTCTAGTTTTGTTTTTTGTTGCAAAATCATATCAAATGTCTTCCAAAACGCCGGTGGTGCTGTTGGTATTTTATTTTTATGAAGTCGATACGATACATACATCGTATGTATCGACGATCATATGGTCGTATTCCGCTACACTTAAATTGAAAGCTGTTAAGTCTAGTCCTGAGACAAGATACATCTCTTATACTCTCTGCACACTGAGTTCATCCTGGGGGAACGGTGGGAATTTTTGAAAGATGTGAAACACCGATTCACATTGACACCATCCACCATCCACCATCCATGAGAAACAGCTGTTGCTCACAATTGCGTGCGGTGAAAATTTGTTTACTTTAATTAAAATGAATATAAATAACATTTCAATGGTCGTGAATGTGATTCAGCAGCAAAACATATTCTTGCACAAGCTAATCATGTTGTTGGACATGGACGATGATGATGAGGATAACTTTGACGAGGAGGAGATAATAGAATGGATATCTGTTTTGAAAACACTGAAGCCCGGAAGGTTGTGGTCATTTGTGAGTGCTTCTAATAAATGCAACCAATGTTTAAAGTACAAATATATATGTTATGTTTTTCAGAAGCGGTTCGGTACATTTTGGGAGAAGGATGTACCCGAAAACAACGAGGCGTTTTTTAAGGAAAGTTTTAGGATAGAGAGATCCTGCTTTTCTCTGTTGGTTACTCGCTTGGAAGTGCTACGGAAGAAGGACACAAACTGCCGAGCTGCAATTCCTCTGGAGAAGCGTATCGCCATATCTTTATATACTTTGGGATCTTCTTCTGAGAAGAGTGTTTTTCGGAGTGTCAGCCAACAGCGTCTGCAATATCCTGCATGAGTTTTGCAGAGCATTCATCAACGAATTCTCAGAGGAATACATGTCCAAAAACTATCTCACTTCAGAGAAAATTGACGAGTGTGTCCAAGCATTTGAAGAAATTGGGTTTCGTCAGTGCCTGGTGCAATTGGTAATAATGCAATAAAATCATCCATAATATATGTATATACATATATGTAAATTAATTTCATCACTTAATTTTTATGTTAGATAGATGTCACATCGAAATAAAACCACCTGCAGCTGATATTTGATATATTTTTATTTTTTGCGTGCTATGTGAGTTCTGACGGGGTTATTTTGTTTTATTTTTATATTTTCCTGTCTGTCATTGTTTTCATTTTCGTAGTGATCTCCGATTTTTTGTTGTGAAATATGGTTGCATTTGACAATTATCGAAAAAATACCGCACTGAAACGTGAGAATTAGGAGCATCCCAGATGGATGGTGGAATAACTGGGAAATTTTCGGAACGGCAAATCCTTACGGACCATCCCAGAAATGGATGGTGGATGGTCCCCAGTGTGAAAAGGCTATTAGTTCAAATACGTGTTCGTAGCCATCTCCAGATACGTCTACTGGATTTCAATCGAACCACTGAAGCACTACATGAGACATAAATAAATGAATGCAGTGCACACCTTTGGTCACACCACTGGCTGCTAGAAAAATATATGACATTTTTTTTTCTAGCAAACAGTTTTTGGATCTGACTACTCGGCTTTAAGCCTTAATAGCCTTTTCCCACAGAGCACATCAATGAGGAACGGTGGGAATTTTCGACAGATGTGAAACTCCGATTCCCACTGGCACCATCCACCATCTACCATCCACAATCCATGAAAAACAGCTGATGCACACAATTTGGTGCGGCGGCGGAAAATTTGTTTGCTTGTATAATTAAAATGAATATTCAGTACCAAAATATATTCTTGCACAAAGTAATCATTTTGCTGGACATGGATGATGACAATTTGGCCAACATTGACAACATGGATATCTGTTTTGAAAACACTGAAGCGTGGTCATTTGTGACTGCTTCTACTAAATCCAATCAATTTTTTAAATACAAATATATATTCTATCTATTTTGAGAAGCGGAAGGAACATACAAATATTCCATCTTTCGTCGTCCAAAAGCCACATATACACACAAACATATTAAAATGAAAGGAAACATGGGCAAGCCAGCTACAAAAGTGAAATAATGAAGACAAATTAAATTTAATTAAGGCAAATACGATTTTACTGCTTTCTTTAATGCAAAATTTGAAATTTTGTAAAGCCTAGTACTCAGATCCAAAAACTGTTTGCCAGCAGAAAAATGTCATATATTCTTCGAGCGGCCAGTGTATGACCAGAGGTGTGCACTGCATTCCGAACGGTTACACTGCTCATACCGCTGCTTGGTTTTGTTTAAAGTTAATAAAATGCACTTCTTCGGCTGGGGCTGCTCTTCCCCAGGCATATCCTAGGCTGACTATCAGCAGCAGCAGATGGCGATGCCTCCCGTGCCGGACACCGTCAATAAAAAATGTTTTGAAAACAATATTTGTTTTATACTTATGAAAATTAATAAAAATATTATATTATAATATCCATATAATTGTCCTTTATATAATGCTGCATTAATTAGATTCTATTTGTCTTCATTATTAAAATATTTCATTTGGTTTTTTGTTCTCTTATTGCAATGTTTGCTTCGTGTTTGCTGGCAAAAGATATCAAATTAATATCTTTTTCGAGGTGGGTCGAAACATACAAAAAAAACAAGCAAATACTTCTGATACTTTTCCAGTATATACCGACCTTTTTGTTTTTTGATCTGAGTACTGCCTTCCGTACAGAGTCTAGAAAACAGTTTTTGCCGGAAAAAATTTCTTATCGGTTTCATACGAATTTCAAACCTGATTCTGTTCGCGAGGTGTTTTTTTTTATCTGAGTACTAGGCTTAAACAAAGACAAAACAGTGTAACCGTAGAGCATGCCGTTTGACCACTCTGGTCACACTAGGCACCAAACGGAATAAAAAGCAGTCGCTCTGACTGCATTTCGCATAAGACCACGGAATATTTAGTGCGTCTGAGTACTGAGTACTACTGTACTCAGATCAACTAAATTTTCCTCGACCGAATCAGCGATGATATTCGTATGCAGCTGGCTTTTATAGTGCTATGACATTAGAATTATAGCTATATGACATTAGACTTTGCTAACTGTCTAACTGGAAAAATAGAGATGGTCTTATGCGAAATGCAGTCAGAGCGAGAGAACTATATGCGTCAATCTCTACCCATTGCTCAGTTATGTTGCGGCAGGCCAGCTCACGTTGCTACATCAGCCCTCAAAACAAAACGAAAAACAAATTCAAGCGGCAAAAAATTGTAGAGCCCACACACAATCACAGTATGTGAATACATGACACACACACATTTACGCAACCTGGAAACGAAACTCAAAACAAACTCAAAACGGTTTCGGAAAATAAGAATTCATAAATATTTGGTCGTGTCTGCGAACACACACACACACTTGCAATTCTCGGCTTGCTTTCGCATCTCGTCATGAATCGAACATGTCGAAAAAATGCCGAACGTCTCAGGCCCACAACCCGAACGTCTCAGCACCACAGCCGAATGGTCCCAGCACCCTAGCCGAAGACCTGGGGGTGCTGGGACAGAAACCTCAGCTGCGCCCCTTTCGTTGTATGAACTGGCACATCTATATACTGTATGGTTAGTGGCTGGGAGCAGGGATTAATCGGTACTTTTTGCTGGCTTGGTGGCTTGCAAAGTCTAATGTCTAACCACTACTAGCCAACTTTGCTGCGTAGAGAGGGATAGCATGAGAACTAAAATGCAACATTATTGTTCGTAGCCGTCTCTAATAACGTCTAATGGCTTTCAGTCGAACAACTGAGACACAACTTGATACAAAATGATGTTTTCCAGCAAAACACAGCCACCAAGCGAACAAAATTGTATCCGCAAAGTAAAAGAACCGACTAATCGCTGCTCCCAGCTCATATGGAACGACAGCGCGCTCTGACTGCATTTCCCATAAGCAGACGGGTACTCAGAGCCGAAAACCGATAGTTACTGAGGAGCAACCGATGGTATATTTTCGGCTCGAGCGAAATAATGAATTATTGTATCTTTTATCCACAAAAACATATACACACAAACCGGCTAGAAAAGTGAAATAATGAAGAAAAATTTAGTTTTAATTATTTAATTTAATTAGTGCAGTATTATGAATACCGATTATGGATTTTATAATTAATTAATTGTATACCCTTCATAATAATTTATATGAATACAAAAAACATGTTTGCATTTCTATACCGACAGTATGGATTTACCTAATCTTGGCGGCCCTTTCTTCGTTGATCAAATAATATATTTTTGCATGCTCTCATACAAAAACAACGAACAAAACAATGTTCCCGTAGCGACTGTACAGCTGGCCACTAGTTTTCGACAAAATATTTAGTTTATCTAGCTACTGGGCTTATACCAGTATTGAATCTTAGTGGAATACGACCATTAGTGAAGTACCATTAATAAATCACAAATACTTTTAAATACTTTCATGTTTGCTAGTAGTCACGGTTTAGGAACATGTATGCATTCATTGATTTTCATTCAGGATGCTTGTTGAAAATACTTATTGAAAATCTTCATCTGCGTAGACGGCAAAGCTTTGTCATAGAATTGACTCGAATACACAATATTAATGACACAATAATTACACAAATACGAACACAACACCACATAGAGACAACGCCATGTTTCCCTATCTGAGGAGTCAGGGTCAACGTTTTAACCTCCAACTTCTGCAGGAGGCCGCTTACCGTGAGCTTGTACAACACCTGGACCGGATCGAGGGTTCAATAATCATCGTGCTTGATGAGGCAATGATTGGGCCGTTCGAGCTTGTAACGAAGCCAAAACTCTTTAGTGAGCGAACCATTAGGAGTGTAGCTCTCAAGCCGGACTTGGTCTTGCCCAATGATATCAGAAACATCGTCTACATTCTGCGACCGAGGATCTCGCTTATGGATCAACTGGTGGGTCACGTCAAATCTAATGATCAAGTCGGTCGGCGCCAGTTCCATATTCTTTTTGCGCCACGACGATCTTGCCTATGCGTTAACCAGCTGCAGAACAAAGGCGTGATCAGCAGTTTCGGTTGCATTGATGAGCTGTCCTGGAGCTTTCTTCCGCTAGATGCGGATGTGGTGACAATGGAGATACCTAATGCCTATCGCGACGTAAGCATCGATGGCGACACAAGCTCTCTGTACCAGGTTGCTATTGGTCTCGTTCAGTTGCAGCGTCTTTATGGCCGCATTCCAAAGATCTACGGAAAGGGTGCCCAGGCTCAACGCGTTTGGGATCACGCCAAACATCTGGGAATAGAGGAGAAGTCGGTATACAATGGCGACAAAGGCGCCATCGATCAGTTGATACTGCTGGATAGGGGCATCGACCTGCTCAGCCCCTTGGCCACACAGCTTACTTATGAGGGCCTCATCGACGAGTTCTACGGCATTCGGCAAAACAAGCTTACCCTCCCAGCCGAGTTTTTTCCCTCAGATAAGACAGCAGATGGCCGTAAACCTGATGAACACTTTCCCGAGACTTCGAAAATGAAAACCATCTTGGTGCACTCTGGGGAGCAGCTGTATGCGGAGCTGCGTAACAAAAACTTCAACGAAGTAACCAAACTGCTTGCCCGCAAAGCCAGGGAGATCCACACCCAGATGCACGCCACGTCACAGGACAAGACCGTACAGGAGATCAAGAGTTTCGTGGAGAACGTGTTACCCCAGCTGATGGCCCAGAAGAAGTCCACCTCAGAGCATACGGCCATAGCCGGCCTTATCCACGAACAGGTGAATGCCGCCACCTTCACAGACGATCTGGCTGCTGAACAAGAGTTCATGGTCTGCGCCGACATTGACAAGCCCAGTGCGTACATCGAGGATAAAATAGCCAGTAAGGCCGATATACGCAACGTGATGCGCCTTATTTGCTTGCAGTGTGCCGCCGCCTCCGGTTTCAAGGATAAGCTGCTCATCCACTACAAACGTGAGGTTGCCCAGGTCTATGGTCTTGAAAAATTACTCAGCTTCAGTAACCTAGAGATGGCCGGCCTACTACACCCGCAGACAGATTCACGGGCATATGCTGTACTAAGAAAGGTGAGAAAGAGACGTCTTGATATTATTGATGGATATTCTTAAGTCCATAATCGATAATTCTTGGACTTGAATATTTAATGAAACACAACCTTTTTCCCCAAGATCCCACCGTATTACAAATTGAATACAAATTATACTAGCTCGTTCTCCTTTCCCATATAGCGCACACTCTACGAGGCAGAATTTGTGAGTAAGCGTTGGAAGGGGGTAGCTAAGCCCGCTCTGTCTGTCTGTTTTTCTGTCCGTCTATCATGTTTGACGTTGTTTGTTTCTACCAGGTTACCGACATAGATCAGATCAGATCAATATTATAGCCAGAAGGAAGAAATCAATTTTACTCTCTCTCCCACACACTCGTGATGTATGCGTCGAACAGACGACAAACTTTAAACATATATAATTTGAAAACTATAGCTACTATAATTAATAATAATAATAAAATTGAAAAAAAATTTTACTTTCTTTGGAGTTCGTGTTTTACAAGTAGCCTAAAACTTGCTTTTAAATAAAAATTTTAAAAATCTTGGAATGATTTAATAAATCATAAATCATAGATATTATATTTAAATAATCTTAGAAATATCATATAATGTTGAATTTGGACTATCTTTGTTCTATTCCAAAATTATTTGTTCATACAACTTGGAATTTTTTGTCAATTGTCACTTAATTGAGGTTTTAATGTGCTAAAACAAATGTGTTCTTTAGAATTATTTTCTGGAGAAATGTTTTTGTAGTAATTTTTTTTTTTTAGGAATCACTTAGCGATTAATAAGTATTTTTAGAAGCTATATTTCATTGAAAAAATTGTTCGCAGTCAGGAAGATTTTTATACCCGGTACTCGAAGAGTTTAGGGATATATTAGATTTGTGGTAGAAGTGAAAAAAAATTTCCGACCCTATAAAATATGTATATTGTATTAAGTATATTATGTATATCAGCATCAATAGCGGATTCGATGAAGCTATGTTTTTCTGTCCGTCCCAATAAGCGACTAGATCTCAGAGACTATTAGAGCTATATCAACCAAAATCAGTACAAAAACGAGAAGGAACGTGTGAGTCGCTTCTAAAGACGCGACTCTACTTATACCCGTACTCAGTCAGTATTTACATTTTTGAACATATGATTTTTTAGAATTTTAGCATTACAAAAAAAATTTTACATTTTAAATTTTTTTGCTACATCTGTTATCTACATCTACATATATTATGTATATTCTACATCTAACATGTAGATTATACATGTACCATTCATATTCTACATCTCCTCCGCTAGGGGTTGCTCGCGCACTGAACGCGGCAGAGTGTGCGAGCGAGATGGAAAGTGAGTTGCGTTGCGTTGTCGTGGGCTGGAGGGGGCAGGGGAAGCAACTGAAAATTAATTTCTTCATTCTGGCTATAATTATGATCCGATCTGATTCAGATTCGGCAATCTGGTAGATATGGGCATTCTCTACGATACTGCGTTTTTAGTTTTATCGTATCTTTAAAAATGTGCCTGGCACAGATTTTCGTTCTTTGTGGGGGCGGAAGGGGGCGGGGCGAAATTTTGAAATACACTTGTAGCAGTGGGATATCACATGAGTCTGGAAACCAAATTTGGTTGCCCTAGCTCTTATAGTCTCTGAGATCTAGGCGCTCAACAAGACAGACAGACATGGCTCTATCGACTCGGCTATTGATGCTGATCAAGAATATATATACTTTATGGGGTCGGAAACGTTTCCTTCTCTGCGTTACACACATCCACTTTTACCACAAATCTAATATACCCCTAACTCTTTTTGAGTACGGGTATAATTAGTGAAATCGACAATTTCAAAAATACAAGAAAACCAAAAGTGCATAATAGTGAAAACAAACCCTATATCTTAGATTGCAGAATCTGGATCGGATGAAATTTATTTGCAGTAGCTGCGCTACCCTTCCAACGATGCAGCGCTACTCATTTTTTCTCTCGCTTACACACTGCCTCATGCAGCCTTCTGTCGAAAGAAAGCGAGATCAAACGGCGTGATGATGGGAGAGGAAAGAAAGCTCATATTGAACAAATAACTCTCGCAACTTCAAAATCGAAACAAAAATACCATTAAATTTTCGTTTGTTTAATCCTTGCAGACGCTACATCTAACCGTGGAGGATAATGTCGAGGTAGATCCGAAGGACATAAGCTATGTGCATAGCTTCTATGCTCCGCTGACCGCTCGCCTGGTGGAACTTTCTTTAAAGCCGCTTGGCTGGCAGACACTGAAGAGTCAGATTAACAATCTGCATGGGCCGACCTTTGAGGACTTTCAAGCGCAACTAATCGGAATAGGCGGTCGGCATGCAGGCTCCACAGTCAGTGAGGGCTCGCTGCTGCATGTTCCGCGAGTTGTACTGGTCTGCTTCGTAGGAGGATGCACGTTCGCGGAGATTGCTGCCCTGCGGTTTTTAGCCGACCAGGAGGATAACAATGTGGACTTTCTGATCGCAACCACCAATATCATTAACAAGAACACATTTCTTGATAGCCTGATAAGCGCCTGAACGCGACGCTTCAAGTTATCGTGCATGACCACTTATCGACTATGTTTGGATACATGCATGACCAATACGCAACCGGACCCTTAAAAATAAGCTTTTAATGTAGTTAAAAATTTTTATTAGTTTTCCTTAGGTTTCGATATATTTTTCGTTTATGACGCCTATTCATACATTATATTTATAATAAATTGAAATGCATCAAAATAAGTATATTTATTATATAAGCTAATTTTCATAAAAATGTTAGCAAAGAAACCATTTACATATTTATAAATTGTATATTAAAAACATACATACATAAATATTGTTACGTTTTTACGATTCGTATTCAAGATTGAGAAACGGAGGCAGAGTTTTTATACCCGTACTGAAAAAGATTTAAGGGGTATATTGCATTTGTGGTAAAAGTGGATGTGAGAAGGAACCTTTTCCGACCCCATAAAGTCGTCCGTCCGTCTGTCCGTCTTGATGAGCAACCAACTTTTGTTTCCAGACTCATGTGATATCACACTGATACAAGTGTATTTCAAAATTTCGCCCCGACCCCTTCCGCCCTATGCAGTATCGTAGAGAACGACCATATCTACCAGATTGCCGAATCTGAATCAGATCGGATCATAATACTCATTCTCTTTCTCGCACACTCTGCCTCGTTATATACGGGAGTGCCCGCTGGCGAAGAAGATTCAGAATCTAAATGGTATATGTAGAATCTACATGTTAGATGTAGAATATACATTGTAGATGTAGATAACAGATGTAGCTAAAAAATGTAAAATATAATTTTTTTTTTAATTCTACATAAAATCATAAGCTCAAAAATGTATATAGTGACTGAGTACGGGTATAAAAGTAGAGTCGCGTCCGACTCACACGTTCCTTCTCGTTTTTATACCCGTACTCAAAAAAGAGTTAAGGGGTATATTAGATTTGTGGTAAAAGTGGATGTGTGTAACGCAGAGAAGGAAACGTTTCCGACCCCATAAAGTATATATATTCTTGATCAGCATCAATAGCCGAGTCGATATAGCCATGTCTGTCTGTCTTGTTGAGCGCCTAGATCTCAGAGACTATAAGAGCTAGGGCAACCAAATTTGGTTTCCAGACTCATGTGATGTCACACTGCTACAAGTGTATTTCAAAATTTCGCCCCGCCCCCTTCCGCCCACGAAAAAGGACGAAAATCTGTGGCAGGCACATTTTTAAAGATGCGATAAAACTAAAAACGCAGTATCGTAGACAATGCCCATATCTGTCAGATTGCTGAATCTGAATCAGATCGGATCATAATTATAGCCAGAATGAAGAAATTAATTTTCAGTTGCTTCCCCTGCCCCCTCCTGACAACGACCCGCTACCTATCTCTTTCTCGCTCGCACACTCTTCCGCGTTCAGTGCGCGAGCAACCCCTAGCGGAGGAGATGTAGAATCTAAATGGAACATGTATAATCTACATGTTAGATGTATAATATACAAAATATATGTAGATGTAGATAACAGACCTAGCAAAAAATGTAAAATGTAAAATTTTTTTTTTTTATTCTAATATTCTAAAAAATCATATGCTCAAAAATGTATATACTGACTGAGTACGGGTACAAGTAAAGTCGCGTCCCCAGAAGCGACTCGCACGTTCCTTCTCGTTATTATTTAGGAAGGCTTTATTTCCGAGAGAATTTAGGTTTTGTTCCGAACAAACTGTAAGCTCCAACTGACTGAAAGGCCTGACAACCCAATATATACCCAGTACATTCGATCTACTTGATTAGTACTTTCCTTACAATATATATTCCGAAGCTAGTTTGTGGTATTAGGGAGGGAAGGTACCTCTTCGCCACAAACAAAGAAAAAAAAACTTCGTTCAGATGTAATCGAGATAGTTTTGAAATTAAAGAACAAGATCATTTGTTTGAATTTACAGGAGAGCCGGATGACCTTATCATAGAGTACTGATGGGATAAAAACGACTGCTGAGACTTTTTTGTTTATCAAGCGTCTCTATAAAAAATGTTTACTCAAAGAGGAGTATATGTTTTCAGAGACTATAAGAGCTAGAGCAAACAAATTTTGTTTCCAGACTCATGTGATATCACACTGCAACAATTGTTTTTCAAAATTTCCCCCCTGCCGTAAATCTGTGACAGCCTCAATTTTAAAGATACGATAAAGCTAAAGACTCAGTATCGTCGCGAATGACGATATCTACCAGATTGTCGAATCTAAATCAGATCGCCGGAATGAAGAAATTAATTTTGAGTTGCTTCCCCCACCTCCTCCAGCGCCGCTGATGCTATTCTTGTTATACTTATTCTCTTTCTCGCTTGCACACACTGCTCTTTGCAATTCGCCACCTTTGCCGAGGAGATGTAAAATCTACATTATACATACAATCTACATTTCAGATGTGTAATCGACATTGTAGATGTAGATAACAGATGTAGCAAAAAATTTTAAAATGTAAAATACTTTTTAATTCTACATAAATCATAAGCTCACAAATTTATATACTGACTGAGTACGGGTATAAAAGTAGAGTCGCGTCCACAGAAACGACTCACACGTTCCCTCTCTTTCAGTATTTAATTATTACGAATAGATCTGAGGTTCTTTTTGTTAAAACGGTAAATAATTAACTAGCACTCATATGTTCAGCTGCTCAGACTGCCAGAACTAGCATTGAAAACTAGCAGTCGCTTTTGATATTTTTAAGAAACAGCCCCACTGACCAAAATTGAGAAATGCTTGTGTATTTTTAAATATGTGGTATTTTATAGACATCGACGTGCATAAAATTAGTTTGTGTTTTTTCCTTCCATAAATGCAAAAATACAATTTATTTTTATATAATAATAAGATAATATAATATAAAATTAATAAATTTTAAAGATATAGAAAATATTACATATGTTTTGAGTTCCCCATGTTCTATCTTTTTTACTCTCATTTTTATATTTTCTTTCTTGTATGTAAATCTGGTGGATCTATACATACAAAAGTACCTATCAAGCTATGTAGTTGGATGTAATACACCTCCAAAATAATAATCAAGATCATCATATCTAAAATATCATACTCATCTGTATTTTTGTGTCTGTACGTCCAAAATTTCATCCAATTCTCATTAATAAAATTTATTTGTATTCTATGTAATTTAAATAATTACTAACGGAAAATTTGTAGGGCTGCGTAATCGTTTTGCATTTTAAATAATTCACTGGAAACTGTATTATTATAATTCATTTTAAAATATATATATAGTTAGTTTTCATTTCTTCACTTTGTTGTATGGTTGTCTCGAATGAGTGTGTGTGTGTGTGATTCGTGTGCATTCAAATCAATGACTAAATCAATATATTTCCCCAAAAATATAGTTCCTTTAATAATTAAACATTTATACGGTGTAATTTTCTATACAATTTTTATTGTTTTGACTAAGCACTTTGCATTAACTCTAAAATAAGAATATTTAGGTTATGTATTTAATATCTTTTTTGTTAAAACAAAAATAAATGATAAATAAACTAACCTTTTTGCCTTCCCTCTATACAAAATTTGGCCACAAAACTTCTTGTAACCAGCCAAATGAAAAAATATGTAATTGTCAAACATTGAACATAACATGCAAAAAGTCCGTTTTTTTCCAGGCTAATTATAATGATTTCAATTCATTCAAACATTTACAATTCAAAACATTGAAATGCAACGGCAATCTGATGGGGTGAATAACGAGCGATACAATAAATACGCACACATAATTATATTTAAATTTGTATAGTGTAAAAAAAACCGAAATGGGTAACAAAAAATTAGTAATTGATTCAATTTTCTGGTAATCTAAATAGCTTTTAAACTTTGGATAAATTATTTTTTACTTGTTCTTTGTTTGCGTGTTTGATTTTTGTTTTCAGCTTGTTTTATTATTTGTGGTTGACGTTTGAGCTTAAGTTTATTATCATGCAGCTAAGTTTTCTAATTTTATTACGGTTGTGTGATTTTTTAAATTTATTTCTGTTGATGTTTTCTTTAATCGATTTCATTTTAATACAAAACTATTCCAGCTTCTGCCTTTTGTAATTATTAAAAAGTAGTTTTTTTTCCAATCATTATATTGTGATTTTAGTCACTACAAAACAACATTTGCCAATATTGTTTTTTGTGTTATTTTTACAGTGTTATCTGCAGATATTGCTACTCATGTCGGATTTCATTTATGCTGTTGTTTTTGTGTTTGCTTTATAACTGTAATAAAATTTAAATAGTTCATATTTATTAACGCCTTTTCTGATTTCCATTGTTGATGTTGTCTATGCTATAGCGAACCAGCTGGAAAGCTTGTTGAACTATTGCTATGAGCTAAACTAATCATAGATCCAGAGAGACTTGCTTCGTCATCTGGATAGGCTTCACGGGATACCTCAGTAAGCGATAAAGTGCTGCAAGATCGAGATTTATGGTGAATGGATGAATGCATTCAGCATGAAATCGATTATTAACAACCAAAAAAATTATTACCTGAAACCTAAAGCAAGTGATTCATTATCAAATGCTTCCAATTCTCTAGAATGCTTTTCATGTTTCATGCGCAAGCGCTCGGCGCGTTCCTGATTGAATTGTTGCAACTCGGCATCCATCTACAAGTGCAGATACAGGTATAGGTACAAATAACAGATGAATGTGGATAAGTGTTGTTAGTTTTGCGAACCTTGTTCTCGAGGAGCCCACGCCGTACGCTGACACGATTCTCCAACTCACGACGCTCACGATCCCTCTGTTCCTGTGCTTGTTTCTTGTTCTTGTTTTGATATGCGGTCAGCATATCCAGTTCGTATTCCAATTGCTCATTAGTACGTTGGCACTCGATCACTTGACTTTCATCCAGTTTATAGCTTTGACTTTGAAACATATCCGCAATACTTTGTTCATACTGTAATCAAATTGACAGCATTATTTAGATGATTGTTTGGCTAAAGCTGTTTACTGACCTGTTCACCTAACAGCGTAAGCTTCCGATGCTTTTCCTCTTTCAGCTGTTTGATAACTTCTTTCTGTTGTTCTTTTGGTGTCGTTTGCAGAACTTGAGCCTTGTAACGTTTGTATTGTTTCGTTTGCGTTTTGCAAGTCTCACGAAACTGTTTACGTATAAGCAGCTCTTTTTGCTACAAGAAGAGTATAAAATAATTAAACTTTTGGTGATTCAATTAAGCAATTACTTGGCGTAAACACATCGAAGCGAAGAGAAATCTGCTTCAATTTAAAGCTAGTAATCTACATTGGCTAATAAACACCCGTTTACCACTAAAACTGGTGTATAAAATACTTTTGTACAATGCAGTTCTCAAACCCATCTGGACATACGGCTCCGAGCTATGGGAAAAAGCTTGCGTTAGTAATTTAGAAATAATCCAGAGAGCTCAATCGAAGATACTAAGAACTATCACTGGGGCACCATGGTACATACGGAATGAAAATATCCATAAAGACTTAATTGTAGGATCATTTAAAGATGAAATTGCCAAAGGGAAAGCAAAGTATCAGCCAAGCTTCAAGCCCATCCTAATAGACTTGCGCAGTCTTTAACTTGGCACACTAGCCATACACGACTCCGGCAAAGAGTCCTCCCCACCCAGCAATAATACTTAGCTAGGGTCGTACTCTAAGTAATTAAGTGTAATTCATTTAATAAATATTATTAGGTTAAGATTTGCATACTTGTCGGCAGTCTCTAATAGGGAAGATTCGATAAAAAAAATACCGTAATACTAAAAAAAAAACGAGAAGGAACGTGTGAGTCGCTTCTAAAGACTCTACTTATACCCGTACTCAGTCAGTATTTACATTTTTGAGCATATGATTTTTTAGAATTGAAATTTTTTTTTACATTTTTTTGCTACATATGTTATCTACATATCATATACAATGAATATTTTACATCTAACATGTAGATTGAACATGTACCATTTATATTCTACATCTCCTCCGTTAGGGTTGCTCGCGCACTGAACGCGGCGAGTGTGCGAGCGAGAAGGAAAATGAGTTGCGTTGTCGTTGGCGGGATGGGGAGGGGAAGCAACTGAAAATTAATTTCTTCATTCTGGCTATAATTATGATCCGATCTGATTCAGATTCGGCAGTCCGGTAGATACGGACAGACAGTTATGGCTATATCGACTAGGCTATTGATGCTGATCAAGAATATATATACTTTATGGGGTCGGAAACGCTTCCTTCTCTGCGTTACACACATCCACTTTTACCATAAATCTAATAACTCTTTTTTGAGTACGGGTATAAAAAAATTAAGCAGTTATGCATACCTTCAGGCTTTTGGGCTGTTGTCTTAGCTCGAGCGCATGCTTGCGCAGCAGCTCCTTTTTAATGCGATCCATATAGTCTTTTTGATTGTGCAACTCTGTGTCGTGTTGCTTGTTTATCTCCATGACGGAAGAAAATAAAGATTTATATTAGTATATTGAATGTTTAGTTTGCCATTGTAAATGTCTTACCTGCTCCTCTCGCAACTGATGAACGCTCTTTTGCTGGCGATACTCCAGTTCCTGTGTCTTTTCGTGGTGCTTTAAGAGCATGGCATGCGCTTGCTCTAGCTGATGTTCCTTCTTGCTGAGTTCCTGTAAGTGAAGAGATAAGGAAATTATTAACATATTACCCTGTCACTTTTGTGTCATACTTACGTCTCGCAACTGCTGATCATCATGTTCGTGATGCACAACCATACGCTTTCGCTTGAATTTGCGCATCTCGAGGTCAATATATTGCTTTTGTGCCTGTAGCATACGTTGCTCCTCTTGCGCCTCGTGTTGCTTTAGATTATCCTTCTGCGACTGCAAGGTAAGATCACGTTGACGCTTCGGCGTTGAGTCGTCCATAGAGAGCTCGCGTTTCCAGCGCTCCTTGTTCGCTTTGTATTCCTTTTTGCGATTTAAGTCGAACACCTTGCGATCGCCGTCTTGCTTTAGTGTAATCTCTTTGTGTAGTTTCTTCTCGGCTGCGCTAGTCTGTTTTGATCGACGCTCCACGTCCTGCTGGTGCCTATTCTGCAATCGTTTTCGATATCACTATCGCTCAGAACGGTAAAATACCTTTACTTACCTCGAGTCGTTCGAGTTCCCTGGTGAAACTATGCAATAGAGTGTCATATTCCTTGTCAAGGGCCGTCTTGTGCGCTTCCATATCAACCTTGCACTTTTCCTCGAGCTTCACAAGATGAGCCTGATGTTCGCGTCGCATCCGTTTGTAGCCCGACATTTGTTCGTGCATTTCTTCCTATATATGTCGGTGGGTAGAATAAGGAGAACGCTTGTGATTAAAGATAGAAATGATGAGAAATACCAATGGAATCCGAATATGTGCCGTACCCACGCTCTAGTCTTATAAAAAATAATTGCTATCTAACTAACTTACTGTTACTAATCTCAAAGTTAAACGAGGGGGATGTTTGTAAGCCGCGGACCTTGCCGCTCATACCCGGTACTTAGAGAGAGAACTCTCTCCGCTATCTCTCTCAATTTTGCTCACACTTGTCATGAAAGATGGGGAAAACATAGAGAAAAAGAGAGGAACCACGACGGCTAGTTTTGTTCTAATGTCAATTCTGTCTCTAATCGCCTATTTAAACAATATTAAAGAATATTTTATTGGTTACCAAATTTTTTTAACATATTCCGCTACATCTGTCCCTCTCTCTTCTCACACCAAAGGTGTATCCCGCTCATCTCCGCCAGAAGGCGCACACTGCACGGGGAAGAGTGTATCAGAGGGAGAGAGAGAGAAACAGAGAGAGAGAGAGAGGGAGCAAATGAGTAAGCGCTTGGAAGGGGGTAGCGTAGCCAAAACAATATAATTTTTTAATTCTCTACGATTCTGCGTTTTCGGTTTTCTCGTATCTCGTGGGCGGAAGGGTGTCTAGCTCTTATAGTATCTGATATCTAGACTACCATTGGGATGGAAATAGACATGGCTATATCGACTCGTCTATTGCTGTAGATCAGGAATATACATATACCATAGGGTGTAAGGCGCTCCGCCCTCTAGCGGAGAATATGTAAAATCTAAATGGTATATGTATAATATACATTGTAGAATTAAACAAAAGATGTAGCCAAAAAATTTTAAATGTAAAATTTTAAATGTTAAAGTTACGCACGTATCTTAAGCTCACAGCTCACATATTTATATACTGACTGAGTACGGGTATAAAAGTGGAGTCGCGTTCACAGAAGCGACACAAAACGTTCCTTCTCGTTTTACCTAAGTTTAAAAGCCTCTTTTGCAGTTTTGAGTTTTTTGGCTTCTACATCGATAACAGTGACGCTACCTCAGGTTTTTTTTTTGTTAATTTTAATTTTTGAAAGCTTTGGAAAATTCTCTATAGGATTCGTGTATTGGATTTATCCAAAGCGTTAACAAAAATAATTGACTTTTGCCACCTTTTTGCCGCTGAGGCCCCACTTTGCGGCGTATCAGATTTTCAAAAAATCGTTAAATAGTTAAATGATTCACCAAAAAAACACAACTAAGATCTTTAGCATGCGTAAAACAGAAGACAATTTGTTCATTATGGCTATCTGGCTATCGGGCAATCTGGTAGAAACAATCTTTCATGTTTTTTTTTTTTTCGTTTTATTGTATCTTTAACTTTGTGAATGTGGAGGGGTGAAAAGATTAAACAAAAACGAGAAGGAACGTGTGAGTCGCTTCTGGGGACGCGACTCTACTTTTATACCCGTACGCAGTCAGTATATAAATTCTTTTAGCTTATGATTTATGTAGAATTTTAAAACATTTTACATTTTTTGGCAAAATATTTGCCTTCATCTGTTTTACCATTTCTAAAGGTAACACTACTCGACAAAATCGAACTTTTTTTTTCCTCAAGGATCCAAACCAACTTTTTCTGATAGATATGGGGATTTAAAATTTGTTAAAGAATTATGGTTTTTTTTCTATGGCAGAACTTTTTTTTGAAGAATTTTTGAAGTCTGGTATTTTTTTTTTATGCTTTTTTCAGAGGTAGCGCTTGTTTTTTTCACATAGCTCTGGTATTCGTCTGGTTGTAAAGAACTTTGCTATTTTGAAAAGATAATTAAAACAGCTAGAAGTTAAGCCCAACTGCCAATTGGGAACAAAGCAAACGAAAAAGGGTTGTACATTTGGTACCTGATCGCGATCCCAATTCCCAATGGGCAGTTGGGGCAGTTGGGCCCGCAACCATCAAAAAGGTATTTTTTGTTCATTTTTTTCATTTTTTAGGTTTGGTTAACGAATTTTAGCTCCAAAGTTTCTCCATAGAAAAAAAAAATTTTTTCTTATTATGGGTAAACAACGCTAAACACTCTTTCCAAGTTGTCACACGAGTGCGTTTGTGGTCTATTGTGAGCAAACTGAGGAAGCCATCTCGCAGACCACCTTTCAAACTCAAATGATAATTTAAAATTTTTAAACCACTTAGCTGTATGGTTCCCTATGGCTTCCAGAACATCTTGCAATTTCAATCTACGAGCGGATAACTCCATATTGAGAATTATTTCAATTTTGTTTATTGCTTTTAACAATACTCTCCAAGAATATGAAACCCTATTTTAAAATTTTTTATACATATTTTTGCAGCACTCTTGGCTCTCAGAGAAAGTATCTCTAAAGCAGCCCTTAATCAACATCATTCGCTTTGAAATTTTTTTCGATTAAGGATTAAGAATCAGGATTCGTCACCTGCATATTTGTTATACACAGCTTTTGAAGCACCACGATCCTATTTTTTTTTTTTTTTAATTTTAATTTTTCCCAATTTTTTGAGTTCTCACGCTAGCACACATTTTTTACTACGAGGTGATCATCGAACATTTTATTAATGGTCGTCGTACTAATGCCTAAGGATACCTCAATCTCACGGTATGTGACATTGACGATCTTGCTCAATCATTTCGCGCACAGCATCAATTTTTAGCAGCCTTCACGAAATTCGTCCTGCAACGAAGGACGTCCACGTTTGAATTCGCCTTAATCGCCTTAATCCCCTTAAAATATATGGTAGAAAATCATGACACAAATTTTCATGTGTAAATTTTTGAGATGCATGAGATAATTTTTTTGTTTATCGTTAATCGATATCAAACGTGGCCGTACAAGAAAAATGTTATATTTTCATATATTATATTTATCTCAGAGAATACCAAAATTTTTAATACAAATGACCATTGGGTCCTAATCAAGCTAGAAGTGACCTAGGACAGAAACTTATTTACGAGCGCCCCTCGTATCAATGGCTGTAAAGTTTACAGTGTAAACCACAATTAAAATGGCGCAGAAGAAGCAGAATTTGAAGAAGAATTTTGACATGAATCAGTTTAAAGATGCCTTTTGACAGAAAAAATATTGCTAGATCAATTAAGAGGCGAGAAATTTAAAAGGTCACGGACTTATTGATCCGCCCTCATTATGATAAACAACTTATCATAAATCATCAACATTTTCAGAAAAATACTCCAAAAACAAACGGGCTAGTCAAAATAATCAGGAGTGCCACAGAAATCGCGCGCGGAATGGGAATCCGCGGAGAGAAATTGTGAGTAAAAATTTCATAACTGAGGCACTACTTGATACAAAATGATATTTTATCAGCAAAACACAGCCACCAAGCCAGAAAAATTGTATTCGCAAAGTAAAAAAAATCGATTAAGTCTGCCGCAGCGCTGCTCCCAGATCCCAGCTGGACGCATATAGTTCTCTCGCTCTGACTGCAGGCATTTCCCATAGGGCTTTCTCAATTTTGCCAGCTAGTCAGTAAGCAAAGTCTAATGTCATGGCACTGTTAGAAATCGGAGAGCTACGGAGCTACACTTTAAGAATGGGTCGGTCAAAAAACAGTAGTGAAACTTTTCATAAGACTACGGTCTAACAATATTTTCTGAGAGTGTTTTGTACATCCATTAAGACACATCCATGTTGAGTATAAAGTTGAGTATTTTTTTTTTTTGTATGAGACTGCTCTATTCACATTACATCAAGAACTCTCATAAGATTGAGATCGGGTGACCGACCCGGACATCCCCTTGAATTTACTTTATTGGCTATGAACTATTCTTTGGCAACCTTTCTGGTGTCTTTTGGATAGTTGTCCTCCCGGGAAGTCCAAATAAGCGGCATGTCCTCCAAGTCAAAGCATCATTTCCGTCAATATCTGTACGTATAAATGACGATCCAATATGATTTTAATACAAATATGTACTGGTCAAATTCCGTAGAAAGAAAAACTCACCCAACCCATTGTTTAGGGAGCCGCAGATTTTACAGTTTTTCAAGAATGTGTTTGGGTAAAACGAGGCCGTCTTAGATACTACCTTATGCATTTGAGGATATGCAAAATATTTGGACGTCCCAGGAGGACAACGTTCCGAAAGACATCCGCAAAGTTTTCATATAGTGGGTCGTTCCAATAGAGTATATTCATATGAATGGGTGGATCGATCACCCTATCTCAATTAAATAGAGAATTGATGGTGTTATGTGAAAGGAGAAGTCTCATAAACAACACAATCAACGTTAAGACGGTTTACTATTCATATTAGAAAGATACCTTGCAGCGCAGGCTTCTCAGATGCGCATCGGACCCGTCTCCCAATAAGACGATACAATTGTAGCGTTCCTTCTCGTTTTAATTAAAATTAACAGTTTTCGTTACAATTATCGATATGCTTCTCTTTGTGCTGCCATGGGCCTGCACCTAGCCAAACAGGGGTATTTTAACATATATGCAATGGCAGTAACGTGTAGAAGTGTTTTGTTAATTTTGTTTGACATTTTAAAGCGATGACACCTGGTATAACTACAACTGATGGAAAATGTTTTCGCAATTTGCACACAAAGTACGCGACACTTGAGGTGAAGGAAGTTTTACTACTAGAAGCTTTATTTTAAATGCTTAATTAAAAAAAAAAAAGAATGCTTTCAATATAATTAATATTAAATACCTAACTCCTAATTCGGCTAAAAAAAGGCTTAGGTGGCACCCTCGAACGACCGCTGATTGCACGCGGAATCGTAAAATGAAAATTCGGGCAGCGGATTAAAAATTTACTAAAATGCTTATTTTACTAACTTTACATGTATAATGTTCAATTATTTGGATGAGTGTTAATCACCAATTGAAGATTCGAATTTTGTAAGTGTATTTTATGTGTGTATTTAATTAAAGCTCTGTATCAATAGTGCTCGATTTCGAATCAGCGTAAATATCGGTGTGGGGCACAACTGAATGAAATTGATGA